GTGGCCCATAAATATAAGCCGTATCAAACATACCTTTTTTAAAATACAATAATATATTTTTTATTTCATATTCGATTTCAGCTCATTTTCACGAGTTTCTCGATATAAGATTTCATATTACTATACTAAGTATTTAAAAAGTTATGGCCATTTTTATGTTCAAATCGTCATGACTTCAAGGCCCTGTATATCAGAATCTGTATCAGATAATGTGAATTTTTCTGTGTCAGCACTTTTTGAAAATGGTCTATTTTCACAAAAATTAGTTACATTTCAAAAAAAAATTGTATCGAATGTATTACGAATGTAAATTATTCTTGATTAATTGATTATTAATTTTGGTACTTGTACGATATTACACGACCAACTTGTAAAACCGAGTTATTTAAGAAAGAAGACAGTAAAGTAAGTTTTAAGTAAAATTTTTAATATCTTCAAAACTATTAGGTTTAGATATAGGGAAGTAAACATGAACTTGCCTTGTTTTTTTTGACCGCTGATCCTGCCATTAAAAAAAGATCCATGATGGTTCCATTAAAAAAAGAGCCATTCTTAGAGGACCACCCTGTACTTAGGAATTCCTAAATCCTGTTTAGGTATTACCTAACTTTAGGAACTGGTTGGTGAAATCGAGCATTAGCAAAAGGGTAGTAAAAAAAACACAGTAAAATGGCAGGAAATACGCAGTGAATTTTTAGCTCGATTTAAGCACTAGACGTTTGTTGAAGTTTTAAATTATGTTTAAAAGTAACTTAAACGTCCCTTGTAACTCCACTAAGAAATTTAGTGGCTATTTTAACAAAAATAACATCTTAGTAACCACTAAATGGAACTATGAATACGATTTTTTTAAGTGGGATGTTAGTAGTGTGTTAGTAACCACTAAATAGGACTAATTGATACGATTTCTGTAGGGTGACCACTAGCAAGGTGAAAGGTATTTGAATATGTTGAAAAAAAACTTTTTTATTTTATACAGGGTGTGTACAAAAAATGTGAAAAATTTTAACTTCAAAAATATCAATTTTCTTCATTTTTTTAAATGGTACACCGTCGATTTTTTCCTATTTTATTGAAATCAGCGGTAAAAAATAACGAAAAATTATGTTTACTTCCCTATACCTAAACCGAATAGTTTTGAAGATATTAAAAATTTTACTAAACACTTACTTTTCTGCCTTATTCTTAAATAATCCGTTTTTACAAGTTGGTCTTGTAAATTGTTTGTAAATAATTGATTAATAATTTTGGTACTTGTACGATAATTACATGGCCAACTTACATGGTAAAATTTTTTAGATATAGGGAAGTAAACATGAACTTTTCTTATTTTTTACTGCTGATTTCAATAAAATAGAAAAAAATGGGTGGTTCCATTTAAAACAATGAAGAAATTTGATATTGTTGATGTTCAACCTTATACACTTTTTATACACACCCTGTATAAAATAAAAAGATTTTCAACACAGGTCCAAATACCCTTTTCCTTGCTAGTAGCCCCCCTACAAAAACCGTTTCCATATCTTTAAGGGGATCCCCGTAAAAAAACAATTTATAAAGGACTGCATCGGTCAAATTTTTCAAATAAAACTTTTAACTTAAAAAGTTGCATTTTGGAAAAAAGTGTTTTAGATAAAAGTATCCTGAAATTTTACATAGATTTCGAAAATATATTAATATACAGGGTGTCCCATTTGAAATAACAAAGTTGATACCTACTTCCGATACAACCGGAAATGGTACGACTGTCAAAATATTTTTAAGTGGTTCGTCTTATTGTATAACATATGTATACAAAATTTTATTAAAATCAGATAAGTAGTTTCCAATATACAGATAGTTTAAGCTCGTCGTGACACACCCTGTAGTGTGATTTTTTTTGAATAGTTGTAACTGGTTTTTGTGAATGGTTGAATGATTCGTGTACGATTCACCTTCACCCTGTATAATTTGTTCACTTTGAGTGGCTCGTGACGTCACGCTCGGGTTTGGCGTGAACGTACTGTATACTTGCAATAATTGCATAATAATAATATAAAGTATATAAGAGAAATTTATAAAAAAATAATAATGAAAAAAAAGATATTGGAAATTTAATGCCTAATGGAATTAAATGCCTTAATTTAAAAAAAAATATATAAACATGAGTATTAGAGAGGGGGAAAATTTATTTTTGGAAAAATTCGCATTTTTACCTAACGAATTTTTTTGTAAGAAAATTTTCCTGTATTCAAATATACTATACATATATCATTTCTTATATGTATTATAGCTCGAATAAATATTTTATATTTCACTTTCTTCTATATAATAACTATTTAGGTATAACTCGAAAATATATTTATCTATATTTATGAACCTTTTTGTGATATAATTATTATTTCTGTACTTGTGTGAATTTGACATTGAAAATTTAATTATTGCCCGTTACATATTATAAATAATTAATTTTTAGGATTTAATTTATTGTAGCGAAAGGTTTTTACCTTTATGTTTTGTATTTATTAAGGGGAGTTTTGTATAGGTAATAATAATAATAATAATAATAGATTAATTTCCGGTTTCATTAACAACAAATAAATCTATTCGATGAATAACTTTTAAACTCCACTTGTCTATAATGAAAATCTTCATCAGATGATGTTAAAGATGATGATGAAGATGTTGCTAAAAATCTAATGAAAGATAAATAATTTTGAAATAACTTAAAAAGTACATAATTTTTGTATTGTCTTGTGCAAATAAATCTATAAAGAGTTATTCGATGAATATTTAGCTAAATATTTTAACGTTTCACCAACACTTTTAATCTTTAGTTAGCTAAATAAGAGTTTAAATAAATATTTCTGGTTAACCTACTTTTACAATGCAAATCTTTCAAAAAAAAAAAGATTTCGAACTGAATTGTTTGAGTTATTTTTTTGGCTTTTGTCTCTGTGACGTGTGAATATTATTATTTAATTATATTTGGAGTTTGAGATTGAGAGTACTTGATTTTGAAATGGATCGAAAAGGGAAAATAAGCAAAAATTATTTGGAGGAGAAGGAAAATTAAATAACGATCCATCCTTCTAAAACAATTCGAAGTCGTCTATAATGAAAATCTTCATCAGATGATGTTGAAGATGATGATGAAGGTGATGCTAAAAATCTAATAGATAAATAATTTTGAAATAACTTAAAAAGTACATAATTTTTGTATTATCGTCTACCTATTATCCATTATTCTCAAACAAACTAAAAATACAACCAATTAAATTCGCAATCAGAAAAAACACTTATTAAATATTACATATTAATTTTATTTGAGGTTAGAAAACATCGAATAAAACTTTAACTGTCCAAATTTCTTTGGTTAATTTAAAAGCCAATTTAATCGTCGAATAACGCTATTTGTCCTTGTCAAAACCGGACATTATTTATTTATTATTATTTTATTATTATTATTATTATTAATATTTATTTTATTTATTTATTACTGAACAAATTTCTTGTGGTCCTATTTTCGAATAATTTCTAAATTTATTTTAAATTTCCCGCCAATTCAGGTTTAGTCGAAATCGTATTTGTTTTATAAATTTTAGTTATTTTGGCATGTCTTTTAATCTTTCTAATATTAACATTTTTATAGCAATACAATGTATTATTTTTTTAGTGAATAAAAGCGAATTTATTGGGAACCAATTTACGCAATTTATCCAATACGGTGCTAAATGTAAAATATACATATATTATATTATTGTATAAGCCTTATATTATTAAATATATAACTTTAAAATTCCTTAAATCGTTCGTTTTGTGATTTTTATAAACTATCAAAAACCATCAATTACAGGAACCTGTAAAATCAAAACACAAATAACACACACATAGAGTAAAGCATACTATATATCTAATTCAAATCTACACACGGGGTAATTTAAATTAAATTAAATACAAAAATAAATATACATACAGTGTGAGTCATGAGGAATCGTACATACTTTAACAGTGTATAGAGGCACTTAAGGTGAATATCATACGACCATTAAAAGTTTCATCCGATTTTGCTCTAAGGAGATACAGGATGGTTTATGAATTTTATGACGAAATTTTCTTTTATTTATATTTTTATGGTGGTTATTTCGATTTGGTTCTTTTTTTGGTAAAAGTATACATTTTGAACCAGCAACACACTGGCATACTGAAAATTGAAAAATTTCAGGACCGTCTTCAAAAAAAAAGAGGTAAATATTTCCAAACTTAATATTTCACCCTGTAAACACTTTTTCTAAATTTTCATTTGGTTAATGTAAAAGTTATAAGTAACTCATAAAGCCTAAGCATCGGAAATTTTTGCCACACTTTGTTTAAATTGTCAATTATCAATTAAATGTTAAGAAAAATTGCACATTTAGGATAACGGAATAATTTACATTAAAATAATATTTTCTATCGTACAAATTTTAATCAAAATTAATATAAACGACTAATTACATATTCCTTTCTATGGAAAAGTCCTAAAATTGCAAAAAAAATCTTAAAATTAACTCATTAGGAAATATTCAACGCGCATGATAATAACTGTTCAAAAACTATCGAAAACACAAAACTTCAATAAAAAATCTATTCTACATTATAAAACATGCTCAAAATGAAATCTATTTGCCATTGCAAAATCCCTAAACAAAAATAATATCAACATATTTAGCAATTGAATATTTGAATGGCATTTTTTAATAAACAAAGTGTATCAATTAGTAACACACAACGATTCAATTCTTAATTATTGACGAAAGAATGAAATCAAATGTCAAAATGCAAAAACAAAGAAAGGGTTAATTTGTCATAGACTATTTCGATCATTGTATCTAATTTAACATACAGATAAAATAATTCATTAGAGAATATTATTGAATTATTTTTTGTCTGAAATTTTTTAATTCTGAATATGCCAGTGTGTTGTTGGTTCAAAATGTATACTTTTAGCAAAAAATAAATCGAATCGAAATAACCACCATAAAGATATAAACAAATGAAAATTTCGTCAAAATTAATAAATCACCCTGTATCTCCTTAGAGAAGAGCCGGATGGAACTTTTAATGGTCGTATGATATTCACCCTAAGTTCCTCTTTACACTGTTAAACTTTGTACGATTCCTCACGACTCACCCTGTATAATTTTTTTCTTTCTCATCTAAGTATCGTCCACCACAGATTTCTTATTCTTCCTCCTCCGTTTGCTCCTTATATTCGACAGGATCTCGTACGCCTGCTGGATCTCCATGAACTTCTCCTGAGCCTCTCTCTGTTTAGAGGGATCCTTCGCTTTGTCGGGATGGAATTCCCGGCTGAGCGCCCGCCATTTTGTCGTTATCTCCGATTGGCTGGACGTCGGACCGACGCCCAACACTTTATAGGCGTTTTGCTCGCCCTGCGGATCGCTCAGATCGATTATTTGCTTCCACACTTCGTACCTGCAAATCGTTATAAAGTGAGATAACGGATTAGCGTCCTGAAAGAAAGTTGGCTGTGGACGTCAAAACGTCAAATTTAAAATCGTCGGATTAGTCGTAGTTGGCCTTGAATGTCTAATAAATCATCACTTGATTAGTTTTATAGTTGGCTTTGAATGTCAAATGTTTATTTGATAAGTTACATAGTTGGCTTTGAATGTCTAATAATACATCTTTTCCTGATTAAAAGTGTATAGCGGGCCTTGTTTGTCAAATAAATCATCACTTGATTACCTGCAATTATTATACAAGATAAGCGTCGTAAAAGAAAGTTGGCCGTGAACGTCAAAACGTCAAATTTAAAATCGTCGGATTAGTCGTAGTTGGCCTTGAATGTCAAATAAATCATCACTTGATTAGTTACATAGTTGGCTTTGAATGTCTAATAATACATCTTTTCCTGATTAAAAGTGTATAGTGGGCCTTGTATGTCAAATAAATCATCACTTGATTACTTGCAATTATTATACAAGACAAGCGTCGTAAAAGAAAGTTGGCCGTGAACGCCAAAACGTCAAATTTAAAATCGTTGGATTAGTCGTAGTTGGCGTTGAATATAAAATAATACAGCTTTCCCTAATTAAGTGCATAGTTGGCTGTAAATGTCGAATAAATATTTATTTGATAAGTTACATGGTTGGCTTTGAATTTCAAATAAATCATTACTTGATTAGTTACACAGTTGGCCTTGAATGTCAAATAAATCTTAACTTGATTAGTTACACAGTTGGCCTTGAATGTCAAATAATACAGCTTCCCCAGATGAGTTGAAGTTTCCCGTAATTAAAGCAAAATAGTTCCCGTAAACACAAACAATAATAAAAAATAAAAAAAAATAAAAAAAATAAACAATATCTAATACAGCTTCTCTCAATTAATTGCAGTTAGCCATGACTGTCAACTACCGCCTCCCCCGATTACTCGTATTAATCGGTCGTGAATGTCAATTACCACCCCCCCTTCCTAATTAGTTAGAGTTGGCCGTGAATGTCATAAATGCAGGTTGGCAACGCCGATTTGACGTATAGTATACAAAATGGCGGTTATTTTTTTTTTTTGTTTTTTAAATTTTTTAATTACCATCCGTGATGTTGGGCGTACACGTATGTATCGTATAGGGATTGTTTGAGATCCGTCCACCAGGGGGACGTGAAAAAATGATGAAGGGCTTCGTGTACGGGAATTTCGTCTCCATTTGAATCCGTTATTTTGCCGTTGAAATAGAAAAATGACGTCCACAAGGCCGAATAAACGAAAGCGCAGGCTAACAAGATGGATACCCTTTTTACCAACGATCTAAAAAAAAAACAAATAAAAAATTATTTTACTGTTTTCAAGGCTATTTATGTTTTTCTACAGGGTAAGTCATTAGGAATCGTACATACTTTAACAGTGTATAGAGGCACTTAAGGTGAATATCATACGACCATTAAAAGTTCCATCCGATTCTTCTCTAAGGAGATACAGGGTGATTTATTAATTTTATGACGAAATTTTCTTTTGTTTATATCTTTATGGTGGTTATTTCGATTTGGTTTATTTTTTGGTAAAAGTATACATTTTAAACCAGCAACACACTGGCCTATTCAGAATTAAAAAATTTCAGTCAAAAAAATAATTCAATAATATTCCCTAATGAATTATTTTTTTTGTATGTTAAATTAGAAACAATGATCGAAATAGTCTATGACAAATTAATTCTTACTTTGTTTTTGCATTAAGACATTTAGTTTTATTCTTTCGTCAATAATTAAGAATTAAATCGTTGTGTGTTACTAATTGATACACTTTGTTTATTAAAAATGCCATTCAAATATTCAATTGCTAAATATGTTGATATTATTTTTGTTTAAGGATTTTGCAATGGCAAATCGATTTCATTTTGAGCATGTTTTATAATGTAGAATAGATTTTTTATTGAATTTTTGTGTTTTTCGATAGTTTTTGAACAATTATTATCATCCGCGTTATATATTTTTTATTGAGTTAATTTGAAGATTTTTTTTTGTAATTTTAGGACCTTTTTGATAGAAAGTAATATGTAATTAATCGTTTTTATTAATTTTTTATTAAAATGTGTACGATAGAAAATATTATTTTAATGTAAATTATTCGGTTATCCTAAATGTGTAATTTTTCTTAAAAGTTAATTGATAATTAACAAATTAAACAAAGTGTGGCAAAAATTTCCGATGCTCAGGCTTTATGAGTTACTTTTACCTTCTACATTAACCAAATGAAAATTTAGAAAAAGTGTATACAGGGTGAAATATTAAGTTTGGAAATATTAACCTCTTTTTTTGAAGACGGTCCTGAATTTTTTTTAATTTTGAATATGCCAGTGTGTTGCTGGTTCAAAATGTATACTTTTACCAAAAAATAAACCAAATCGAAATAACCACCATAAAGATATAAACAAAAGAAAATTTCGTCATAAAATTCATAAATCACCCTGTATCTCCTTGGAGAAGAATCGGATAGAACTTTTAATGGTCGTATGATATTCACCTTAAGTGCCTCTATACACTGTTAAAGTATGTACTATTCCTCATGACTCACCCTGTATATTATGATTAATTTAGGAAATGAAAAAAAAATAATGCGTATTCCCTATTAACTCGTTAAATGTAAATTCGTCGACGCCATTTTGATTCGAAGCCTACTATCTACACATGAATGAATTTTATCAAGTTACCTTGATTAAAAAAAATAAACCCGGTATTATCAACCTATCTGTTATTAATTTTTCATTTGTATATCCATCCAACTGTCATTAAAGGACACTATTGGCTTATACTATATTTGTTTATGTTCATGATTTTGTAGGAAAAACATTCTTTTTAAAATTTTGTAAATTAAATAATTTTGAAAAACCAACAAATTGAAGAAATATTTCGAAATTTTTCAAAAAAATTACAAAAATAATAACAAAAAAAATCCCAATTATGTCGAAAACCATTTAAGATAGAAAAACGAAATTTTGTCCATTTTATAGGAAAAACCTTTTACAATTTGGTAATTTCAATAATTTTGAAAAAAAAAAACACATAATTAACTCGTTAAATGTAAATTCGTCGACGCCATTTTGATTCAAAGCCTACTATCTACACACGAATGAATTTTATCAAGTTACCTTAATTAAAAAAAATAAACCGGTGTTATCAACCTATCTGTTATTATTTTTTTTGTATGTTCATCCAACTGTCATTAAATGACAGTATTGACTTATACAGGGTGTTTTTTGTTTTGAATTTGGCCCATTTCTTTCGACGCCTATAACTTTTGAATCACTTATGTATATTTTTATATGTATTTTTTTTATTATATCGCACACGTATATTTTTTTAATATTTGGCATAGATATTCTACACCTTTAGAACAATTTATTGCCACATTAAAAAAATTACGAAATCCAGGTCCGGATTTAGAAAAATTATGAAAATTTGACCGACCCCAAAACAACACCCTATACATCATATTTTCGAAAATTAAATTTCAAATTTTGAAAAAGCGTAAAAAACTGAAATAAAAACTGAAAAAAAATTCAAAAAAAAAAAAATTAAAACAAAAAACACCCTGTAACTCGGTTATAAAGGCCGCAAGACTCATAAAAAACTGAATGTATTCATCAACTTCAAAAATTCAAAAAAATTCAAATTCAAAAAAACACCCTCTAACTCGTTTATAAAGGGCGCTAAACCCATAATATACGGGTTTTTTATAATCCCCCGGGCGACCTCTATATACAGGGTTAAAACATTCCCCTTTCCCAATGAAACACCCAGTGTATACAGTGGGGACCAAAAGTCCGTCGCCCCCCCTTTAACTTTTAAATGGTAAGAGCTTTTGTCGCCAAATTTGGTGTGTTTATATTGGAGTAAAAATACTATTTTGTGACGTAAAAATGACAGTTGAAACTTTCAAAATGACTGTTAGGCGCCATTTTGAATCTTTTTTTCTTTTGGAAAGGGGGGTCAAGTGATACCTCGTTTTAAAGGTAAATTTATTCTTCTAAGTCAACCCCGAAATTTAAAAATATTTTAATAACGCGTATTCATGTGAAGTCCAATTTAGTTTAAATCCCCGGGTATATTGATACATTTAAAAATGAATTCTGAACGTACTATAAAATGTATCAATTAATTGTTGCTACGGTTTCTTGGCTCTGACATTTATTTGTCAAATTTAGAGTTGATGCAATTGACAATGGCTCGTCCTTTAAACGAAAAAACTGTCAATTTCATTAACTTTAAATTAATTTGACAAATAAATGTCAGAGCCAAGAAACCATAGCAACAATTAATTAACACATTTTATAGTACGTTCAGAATTAATTCTTGGTCTTCACGTGAATATGCGTTTTCAAATTTGGGGGTTGATTTAAGGATGAAATCACCTTTAAAACGAGGTGTCACTTGACCCCCCTTTACATAAGAAAAAAGATTCAAAATGGCGCCAAACTGTCATTTTGAAAGTTTTAACTGTCATTTTTTCGTCAAAAAATAGTATTTTTACTCCAATATACACACCCCAAATTTCGCGACAAAAACTCTTACCATTTAAAAATTAAAGGTGGGGGGGCCACGGACTTTTGATCCTCACTGTATAATAAAGTGAAAGATCCGATGTAGTTACCTCTTTTTCCTCGGCGTTCTCCGCCATTGTTTCGAGAACGTATCGAACGACAAACCGGCGCAAAAAACCATCAAAGTAAGCCAAATGTTCTCGTCGAAAAAGTACCATCGCGTCGGATAGGTTGCCATGGAAACGGCTATCGCGATCCAGGGTTTCCCCCTCTCCCTTCCGATGTTTCCTACCACCCATATACCTGGAAAAATCCTACGGTAACTCGATTTGTACGGAGGTATATAGAGCGATGTTGCCAAATGGGCGGAATTTTCTTCGATATGCAGAATTATCAGAATTATAGCCTGTACAATGTGAGATACTGAAGGAAAGAAGAGTATTTTACGAAAAACTCTGAAATATGAAAGATTTTTTTTTAAATTCACATGTTTTTTATTTAAATTAAATTGTCTAATTAAAAGTTATTTCATAATTTATTATTTATCTCTTGTACAGGGTGTCCAATTAAGATTGCGAGGTATTGTATCTGGGAAACTATGCATCGTAGAGGATTGCGGCAAAAAAAAGTTAGTACTAAAACGGGCAAGTGAAAAACCTGGAAAATATTTTTAAGTTTCTCAAATGGCCGCTAGGAGGTGTAACTGCAATATTGAAACTAAAAAAGTGATATTTCTATGAATTCCGCTATATTAACATAACAAAAAAATACCAGATATTTAAAGTCGAGTATAATATGAACCTTTTTTGTTTAACAATTTTTGCTGTATCTCTAAAAATAAAGTAGTGAGTGTTTTTCAAATGTTTCCCTAAAAAACACCCTGTATCTTCGAAACGGCTGAGCCGATTTGAACAAACTTGGGTTAGTTAAAAAAAACTATTCTTGGGCTACAAAAGTTATATTATTTAAAGTTTTGTTAGATTCACGTGTCGTTAGTAGAGCGCTTTTTTCGACATTCCGAGAGAAATGGTTAATTTTCTCAAAAAAATTAAATGCATTGGTATGATTTTTTTATCATGAATAATTAACTAAATGGTGCCTAAACAAGCTCGCGAAAACCGAATCTCGATATCTTGTTTCTAACCTAAAATTTAGACCAAAGGACATTATATACGGAAATTCCTTTAATTTTTATTTTTTTTAAACTAGTTTTTCTAGATTTCCTTTTTTTTTTCATCAAAAATTAAACACCTTTTTTGAAAATATTGAAATATATTGAAGAAGACAAATAATAGAAGCAGGAGGATTGGAAGAGGAAGTCTTTTGGTTAAAGGACATGTCCTTAAACCGCCCTTATAAATAAAATTCAAAACAACTTAAGTCTGGTAATCGTGGAGGCCATGGAAACAGACTTCCTCTTCCAATACACCACTGGCGCTGTGCTCTAGCACAATAATGTGTTGGGCAACCATCCAACTGCAAAAAAAAGTTCCAACAACAACGGTTATTGATAGTCAAGAAAGATATTGCCATTTAGGAATTGCACGAAAAAATTTTGATTACTCTCAAAGTAACGCGAAACCAATGACAATTTAAAGATTATTTAGGTTTTCAATAGGTATTTCTTTTCTCGCGGCCTGCTTTTATTATTTGTCTTCTTCAATAAATTTGTATATTTTCAAAAAAGGTGTTTAATTTTTGATGAAAAAAAAAAAAGGAAATCTAGAAAAATTAGCTAAAAAAAATAAAAATTAAAGGAATTTCCGTATATAATTTTCTTTGGCCTAAATTTTAGGTTATACTTTCAATTAATTTAATTGCATTATAATTTAATTTCAAACCTGTCATTATTTTTTACGAACGTTATTTGGTAAAAAAAGTTTTTGCTCCCTTTTGACACTTCACACAGTCGCATGCATTTTATAAATAAAACACAATGTACAGGTCAAGGTCGCCGTAAAATGACGTCACTAAACGCGAGATTGAGCAAACCTCGCTCGTTTCGATGACGTTGACGTCAAAAGTGACATTGACAGGTACTAATGTCACTCGATTTTTTTTCGTTTTTTGATTGACAGGTACTAATGTCACTCGATTTTTTTTTTCGTTTTTTGAGGTCAATAGTGACATTGACAGGTACTAATTTTGTTGTTTTTTTTTGGTTTTTTTGAGTAACTTACCGAGCGCAGCAGCCAATGGAATGAACCAATGAAGGTACGAATTTAAATTGATACCTCCCAGCTCGTCTTCAGGTATTGCCAACATGACGAGCTGACCCCACAGGTAGCCAACCATGATGGCCGAGATGAATCTGCTCGTCGAAAATGGCGGCTGGAAAGACAATTGACAGTTGACAGGTTTGACAGGTGACAGGTTTATTTCGTTCTTAGTGTAATTGTATTGTATTGTATTGTAGTCTAAACACCCTGTATTTTAATAATCTTTTCAATAAAGACAGTTGACAATTGGCAGGTGACAGTTGACAGATTTATTTCGTTCTTAGTGTAATTGTATTGTATTGTATTGTATTGTAGTCTAAACACCCTGTATTTTAATAATCTTTTCAATAAAGACAGTTGACAATTGGCAGGTGACAGTTGACAGATTTATTTCGTACCCTGCAGGGTATGTATAAAAATTGTACAAAGTTGGCCTTCAAAAATATCTTTTTTTTTATTTTTTTACTTCACTCTATATTTATATTTAAACACCCTGTATTTTCTCATGATCGTTCTAATAACACGTTCTAGTTTGACAGTTGACAATTTGTCGAGATGAATCAGCTCGTCGAAAATGGCGGCTGGAAAGACAATTGACATTTGACAGGTGACAGTTGACAGGTTTATTTCGCTCTTAGTAGTGTAATTATAAAATTATACAGGGCGAGTCGAGCTCAACCGGACTGAAAGTATTCCCTTTAAAATTAATTAGACGGATTTTGATGGGACACTCTATACATTTCATTATTTCACTTCATTATTCTTTGAGAATTGGATAAGGAAAAATAACTAATAGGATAATAAAAAAAACTTTTAATTGTATATACAGGGTGTGTATAAAAATTGTACAAAGTTGACCTTCAAAAAAAAAACATTTTTTTTTGTAAATTTTTTACTTCTCTATGTATTTATATCTAAACACCCTGTATTAGACAATTTGACAGTTGACAATAACCGTTGAAAAAGATTGTCGACTTGATTTCGCGTATTAATTAGCGATAAATTTGAATAACAAATTAACGAATTAATTAAATAATTTTGATGATTAATTCATATTTCGTTACGTAAGAATTCGTCTCATTCGAATAACCCTCTGCTATAAAATAGTTTTATATACATTGTATATTGTTATATACAGGGTGTCCCAATGAAAAGTGGACCCCCTTTAGTGAGCTGATAATTTTATCTGATAAAACAATCTTATCATAAACTTAAACTTTTGCGGTTTTCTCAAATATGTTTTATTTTATTTTATAACTTTTTGTTACACTGACACGAACATTTTGTACCGCCTGTATACAGGGTGTTTCATAAAAATCCCCTCTTTTAAATTCGCATATTAACCAAATTTTATGAAATATAGGACATCTTCTTTTATACAAATAATACATTTTTGAAAAGTAGAAAATTATATCTTTCGAAATACCTCTGTATATACGGGGTGTTTCAATAAAAAAAAAGTTCGTTACTGTAAATTTAAAAGAGGAGATTTTAATAAGACACCCTGTATTGGTAATGCATAATTTCACTGTAATAAAACATATTTGAGATAACTGCAACTGTCTAGAACCATTTAGAACGCTCAAAAATCATTTAGAATTGTAGAACTCTAAAACAATCGAATACACTCCAAAATCGCTCATTTAAAACTGTCTACAATCATTTAGAATTGTTTAGAACCATATAGAACAGTCTACAATAATTTTCAACGCTTCAGAACCATTTAGAACGTTCTAGAATCATTTAGAACTGTCTAGAATTATTAAGAACACTTCAGAACCCTTTAGAACTGTCTAAACAAATATGGAACTGTCTATAATCATTTAGAACGTTTCAGAACCATTTAGAACGTTCTAGAATCATACAGAATGCTTCAGAATCATACAGAATGCTTCAGAATCATTTAGAACTGTCTAGAACCATCTAAAACGACCCAGAATTATTTAGAACTATAATTTTAGTTTTTAGAAGAATTATAATTGTATTATTGTATAGGCGTTTAAAAATTATAAGCTCATTAAATTCATTAGCATATTAAAAAATTTTACTCGAAAAATTTGCTCAGAAATAAAAGAAATAGAGAGACACCCTGTATTAGAAAATTCAAAATATTTAAAACCAATTTGAATCGATACTTATTTTAATCCTACATATTCGATCAATATTGCTCCTTTTCGTAAACTTAAACTCATTTTTACCGCATTTTCTTTTTAGAAAAATTCGTTTATCACCAGAAATTAGTAATATTACCAGATTTTAGTTAAATTACCAGACTTTTTCAAAATCTAGTAATTTCCCCAGAATTTTGAAAAATCACCAGATTTAGTGACTTTAATTTAAAGATCTATACGCAGTTAAAAAAAAGTATCAACTTATGAGACACCCTGTATTAGAGAATTCAAAATATTTAAAACCAATTGGAATCGATACAAATTTTATTTCTATTTCGATCATTATTGCTCCTTTTCGTAAACTTAAACTCATTTTTACCTCATTTTCTTTTTAGTAAAATTCATTTTTATCGCGAATGATTGATAATAAAATACGCTTTTACGATATTTTAAAAGTAACCATAAAAATTTTATTTTAAATTCGTAATCGACGGTAATAAAATATATCTTATGAAAATCAATCATGTTAGTAAATTTCCACGTATTGTTCGGATATTGGATATACGAATTATACAGGGTGTTAATTAATTGAATGTCGAAGATATTAAAAAGAAAAGTTTATATCAATGTATATCCTAAACCTCTTTAGTTTTCGAGCTACAGGGTGTTACAATTTTAGAAAATTTCTTTTATAAACTTTTTTCAGTTGGAAAATTATTTTTATTATCTTCTTATTAAGTCAAAATCTTTAGTTCGAGACTCTAAATGATTCTAAAGCGTTATTTATGGTTCCAGACAGTTCTAAACGATTCTGGAGAGTTCTCGGTGGATCTAGACCTTTCTAAATGATTCTAATGCGTTCTAAATGATTCTAGTCAGTTCTAAATGATTCTAGAGCGTTCTTAATGGTTATAGACAGTTCTAAATGATTCTAAAACGTTATTAATGGTTCCATACAGTTCTAAACGATTCTGGAGAGTTCTCGGTGGTTCTAGACAGATCTAAATGATTCTAATGTGTTCTAAATGATTCTAGAGCGTTCAAAATGATTCTAGACAGTTCTAAACGATTCTAGAACGTTCTTAATGGTTCTAGACAGTTCTAAATGATTCTAGAGTATTCTTAATGGTTCTAGACAGTTCTTAACGATTCTAAAACGTTCTTAATGAATTTAGACAGTTCTAAACGATTCTGGAGAGTTCTCGGTGGATCTAGACAGTTCTAAATGATTCTAGAGCGTTCTTAGTGGATCTAGACAGTTCTAAATGATTCTAAAGCGTTATTAATGGTTCCAGACAGTTCTAAACAATTGTGGAGAGTTCTCGGTGGTTCTAGACGGTTCTAAATGATTCTAGAGTGCTCTAAATGATTCTAGACAATTCTAAATGATTCTAGAGCGTTCTTAGTGGATCTAGACAGTTCTAAATGATTCTAATACGTTATTAATGGTTCCATACAGTTCTAAACGATTCTGTAGAGTTCTCGGTGGTTTTAGACAGATCTAAATCATTCTAATGTGTTCTAAATGATTCTAGAGCGTTCTAAATGGTTCTAGACAGTTCTAAACGATTCTAGAACGTTCTTAATGAATTTAGACAGTTCTAAACGATTCTGGAGAGTTCTCGGTGGATCTAGACAGTTCTAAATGATTCTAGAGCGTTCTTAATGGTTCTAGACAGTTCTAAATGATTCTAAAACGTTAATAATGGTTCCATACAGTTCTAAACGATTCTGGAGAGTTCTCGGTGGTTCTAGACAGATCTAAATGATTCTAATGTGTTCTAAATGATTCTAGACAATTCTAAATGATTCTAGAGCGTTCTTAATGGTTCTAGACAGTTCTAAATGATTCTAAAACGTTATTAATGGTTCCATACAGTTCTAAACGATTCTGTAGAGTTCTCGGTGGTTCTAGACAGATCTAAATGATTCTAATGTGTTCTAAATGATTCTAGAGCGTTCTAAATGATTCTAGACAGTTCTAAACGATTCTAGAACGTTCTTAATGGTTCTATACAGTTCTAAACGATTCTAGAACGTTCTTAATGGTTCTAGACAGTTCTAAATTATTTAAGACCATTCTAAGTCACTATGGAGGGTTCTAAATAATGAACTTGAGAAAAATTGTTTTGGTTTTTATTTTTTTACGCTAAAATGGTACGTCGACGAAAGTGAGTTTTCAGACCGAAATTAAATATTCTATACCTTTAGGACAATTTATTGCCACACTAAAAAATTACAAAATCCAGGTCCGGATTTAGAAAAATTATTAAAATTTGACCGACCTTAAAACAACACCCAATACATCATATTTTTAAAAATTGAATTTCAAATTTAGAAAGAGCATAAAAAACTGAATGTATTCATCAACTTTTTATTTTCCCGCATGCCGTTTTTCTACCAAAATTTTAACGGTAAAATGTACATTATGAGATTTTTGGTCCATGTAAAATGTAATTGAAGGGATTTTAATTATTTTTTCATAAATAAAACCAGATTTACTTAACACTTTCATGGAAATTCCCGAAATGAACCTATTGAACTTGAATTAACATTCACATAAACCAATAAAAATAACTATTACAGATCCGAACTTACTAAAATTAAAATTATTTCAATTCATTTAATATTTAATCATTAATTAATCAATTTTTACATTTCTACATGAGAAAATTCAAAACTTGATGTATAGGGTGTTGTTTTAGGGTCGGTCAAATTTTAATAATTTTTCTAAATCCGAAATTGGATTTTGTAATTTTTTAGTGTGGCAATAAATTATCCTAAAGGTATAGAATATCTATGCCAAATATCAAAAAAATATACTGAGTGATTCAAAAGTTATAGGTGTCGAAAGAAATTGGCCAAATTCAAAAAACACCCTGTAACTCGGTTATAAAGGGCGCAAGACCCATAGTATATGAGATTTTTGTAATCCCCTGGGTGACCTCGATATAGGGTTAAAATATTTCTCTTTCCCAATGAAACACCCTGTATATAAAAATAATAAATAAAAATATAAAAATAAAAAAAATAAAAAAAGTTAATAAAATAAGTAAATAAAAAATAATTTTGATTTTTTTAGAAAAACCAGTGGCGTACCATTTTTTTTCTTCAAACATATTCGGTATAAACCCCGTACGGACTTCACTGGTAAAAATTTTCAAAAATATTTTGCCTCAAACAATGCTCATTTAAAACTAAAAATTGTGTACACAATTTCATAAAAATATCCGAAATAATAAGAAAATTATGATAGAAAAATTATTTTTTTTCTAAAACTATATCACCCTGTATAGCTCAAAAACTAAGAGGTTTAGGACAAATATCGATATAAACTTTTCTTCTTAAAATCATCCAAATATTCACATCCTGAAGTATCGGCATTAAATTAATTAACACCCTGTATAGAGCAATTTTTTTAGATATTTGTAACTACATTTAAACTACACGGTTATTACGGCAAATTTATAACCGTTATGTTAACATCGTTAACCATATCGGCAAAGTTATTTAACCTACATTTTTACGAACATATACAATACATTAAAAATATTTCTGATGGTAATTCCCTAAATTTGACTGCTAACTTTCACTACCATTATTATACGAGGCTATTAGTGTTAAAAGTTATCGGCCTGAATCAATTAGAACTATGTAGAATCATTTAGAAACGCTGCAAAATAATTTAGAACTGTCTAAAACTATTTAGAACGCTTTTGAATCATTTTGTTAGAATAATTTTGTCTAGAATTGTTTAGAACTATTTAGAGCGCTACAGAATCATTTAGAACCTTTTAAATTCATTTAGAACTGTCTAGAATCATTTATAAACGCTCCAGAATAATTTAGAACTGTCTATAACCATTTAGAACGCTTTAGAATCATTTAGAACTATCTTAGAACCATTTAGAAAGCTCCAGAATCATTTAGAACTGTTTAGAATAATCAAGAACACTCCAAATACATTTAAAACTATATTAGAAAAATTTAGAAAGCTCCAGAATCATTTAGATCCTTCTAGAATCATTTAGAACTGTTTAGAGTCATATAGAACGATTCAGGATCGTTTAAAACTGTCTAGAACAATTTAGACAGCTCTAGAATCATTTAGAACCTTCCAGAATCATTTAGAACTGTTTAGAACAATCTAGAACTCTCCAAAGTCATTTAAAACTGTCTTATTAGTATTTTATTAGTTTATATTTATCCACAGGATGTCTTAAAATGAAAAAAAACTAATAAAAAATTTTTAGAAAATGATGATGATAGACTCCTGTAAAAATATGGTGTTTGCCTGACATAAATGTCAAATCACAGAATAATTTTGTAAATTTGACTAGCGACAGCGTTGCCAGTGGTTTCCTTTTTTTCAGATATTTTTGGATAATTTGCACTTTTTTAAGGGCAGGTAATATGAAATAAGGTATTTCCAGTGTACCGGAATACTTTTAGAGCACTTTAATGAGTATTTTTAAAACGCTACTTTTATCTTTTTAATTTGCAGGGAAAAGAATTGAATTTAAAAAATTCTGAAAAGGATTTTTTATTTAACTTTGTTGTACGTTTTATTTTTTGTCAAGTATAATCAAACACTAGTAAGTTAAACTAATCTCATCCCATCTATTATGGAAAATTTTTACCAAAAATAGTTCAATATTACCCCACAAATTATTAATTAGAGGTCGTGCTTTTGCGGCCTTAACATAAATGAACTAAACCCCTTATAAAAACCTAAAAACCTACTTTTTTAATTCTTACGTTTTTTTCCAAGATCCAAATAAAACAACCGAAAAAATAATTCACCTTCTCATCCGTTCGCCCAACTCTTTTTCACACTCTTTGACTTTTTCAAAATCTAGTAATATCCCCAGATTTTAGCAAAAATCACCAGATTTAGTAACTTTTGAAAACACAGTAATATCCCCAGATTTTAGCAACTTTTGATAACACAGTAATATCCCCAGATTTTAGCAACTTTGATAACACAGTAATATCCCCAGATTTTAGCAAAAATCACCAGATTAAATGACTTTTTTCAAAATCCAGTAATATCACCAGATTTAGTGACTTTTTCAAAATCTAGTAATATCACCAGATTTTCGCAAAAATCCCCAGGATTAACTAACTTTTTCAAAAACCTCTTATAATATCCCCAAAATGCATATAATAATAATAATAGAAAATTTACCTTCTTATTACGTCTCATCCTTTCTCCCAACTCCCCCAAAAACTTGGCATCGTCATTACAATCTCTGACGTAACGCGGTATTTTCGTGACGTCAGCCAACCACCCCAAACCGTAACCCCCCAAAGTACTCCACGTGAGAACGCATGGGCGTCCCTCTCCAAATAAAACAGGTGCAAACCGAAAATACCGCCAAACAACCACCAGAAATACGCCCAAACAACACTTTTTCCACCTTTTCTCGAACCCGATTCGTTGTTCATTTTCGCCGTATTTCGATTGAAACGAGAAATAAAACTAAGCCTGTTTGTTAAACCGCGTAAGGCTCGATAAGAAACGCACGGTTCGTTATCGGTATATCGCATAATTCTACTACTTCGTATATACAATTCGTATATAATATATATTATTTTTTGTACTAGTTATTATCGATGGATAAGAATTGAATAGAATTAGAATAGAATAGAATTATTTTATTTATTTTATTTTTTTTTTTTGGAGTAAATTTCGGTGGATTTTTGGTTAAGTTTTTGGAGTATTTACCGTGTTGGGTTCATCGCACTTTGTCTTAAGGAAGGTCTTAAGTGGAGGCGCGCTCGAGTCGACTGGTCGTTTCGAATCGAAATATTTATCCACGTAGGCTAGAATAACGAGTACTCTCTCTCTCTCTCTCTCTCTCTCTTTCTGATTCTCTCGATAGTACTGTTAACTGTGTTTGGGTCGAAGTTACCTGGGCGAGGAAAACGAAAACCAGCGGCGTAGCGTAGAGCGATAATTTATTGTTACAGGGTGTTTCACAACTTATCCGACAAATTTTAACCGCATATGCACTGTTATGAGAGAAGTTAATTAAAAAAAATGTAATAAAAGTCTTACAGAAATCGAGATAATAAAATAATATTTTAACAGTTCAATTAGTTATACAAGATGTTCAAAATTGTTCACATTTACTGCAATGCAAGCTTGGGTGTTTGTTTTTTTTTTTGGTTTTAACGATTGTTTTGGTGCAACATTTGCAACAGTAAAGTATTAAGGCAAAATTATGAACGCAAAATGCAGTATTTATTTTTCAATTTTTTATTGAAACTCGGGTTTATAATTTTATTTCTGTAGGACTTTTATTACTTTTTTTTGAGAAATCAACTTCTCTCTCTCTCTTTGAGAAATCTCAAAAAAAATTAATAAAAGTCCTACAGAAATAAAATTATAAACCCGAGTTTCAATAAAAAATTGAAAAATAAATACTGCATTTTGCGTTCATAATTTTGCCTTAATACTATACTGTAGCAAATGTTGCACCAAAACAATCGTTAAAAACAAAAAAAAAACAAACACCCAAGCTTACATTGCAGTAAATGGGAACAATTTTGAACATCTTGTATAAGTAATTGAACTGTTAAACTATTATTTTATTATCTCGATTTCTGTAAGACTTTTATTACATTTTTTTTTGGGAAATTAACTTCTTTCATAACAGTGCATATATGGTTAAAATTTATCGGATAAGTTGTGAAACACCCTGTATATTCGATAAATAAGGACGGGTGTGTAACGACGAGTTAAAAGTGTTTTTTTTTTGTAACATGCACCGTTGGAAATTTAATTTCTCATAATTACCAGATTTAGTTACTTTTCAAAATTTAGTAATTTCCCAAATTTAAGTAATATCAAAAATTAGTAATATTACCACGTAGACTAGAACAACGAATACTCTCTCTCTCTCTCTCTCTCTCTCTCTCACTCTCTCTCTTTCTCTCTCTCTCTCAGTACTGTTAAGTTACGAAGAAGTTACCTGAGCGAATAAAACCAGCGGCGTGGCATATCGCGAAATTATTATATTCGATAAATAGAGCCGGTTGTATAACGTCGAGATAAAAGTGTCTGTATACAGTGTGTGTCACGACGATGGTCCATTAGAAGTATCTGGAAAAGTAATGGTAATTAAAATTTGAAAATTTGTTTACGAATGTTATTCGATGTGCTCTATTTAATGAAAATATTTTCAACTTTTCTTTACTTCCGGTTATACCGGAAGTGGACATCAACTTTGTTATTTTAAATGGGACACCCCATATATTAATATATTTTCGAAATGTACGCAAAATTTTAGAGTGCTTTTGTCTAAAAATTTTTTTTCAAAAATGCATACTTTTTGGGTTACTAATTTTTTTTTGGAAAATTTGACCGTTGCAGACCCTTATAAATTATTTTTTTACTGGGATCACTTTAAAGATATGAAAACGGTTTCTGTAGGGTGGCCACTAGCAAGATCAAAGGTATTTGAATCCGTGTTAAAAAACTTTTTATTTTATACAGGGTGTATACAAAACATGTGAAAAGTTGAACTTCAAAAATACCGAATTATTTCAGTCTTTTAAATGGAACCACCCCACTTTTTTCTATTTTATTGAAATCAGCGATAAAAAATAAGGAAGGTTCATGTTTACTTCCCTATAGGGGAATAGAGCGCAATGACTAATACTTTCAAACAAATTACACAAATTTTCAAATTTTAATTACAACTACTTTTCCAGATACTTCTAATGGACCCTCGTCGTGACACACACTGTATATAATATTATAGGAAACTATACACACATCGGCAAATTTAAAGGAACAGATTGTAAATGTAATATATTTATATATATTTTATTGTTTTATACTTTATATCTAGATTGCTATCAAGGTTCCGTGTTATAATTGTTATACAGTGAGAGTGTAAAGTTTGGAACAAATTCGTTAAATGCTTAATTTGTCCATTGGGGAAAAAAACTCGGACATGTCGATTTTTATTTTAAATAGCGGGTGAGAAAAGGTTGAAAGTGTTTATACAGGATGTCCCAAAAAAGAGATATGACTTCAACTTATATTTTTTTTTTAAATGGAATGCCCTATTTATTATTTAATTTTTAGTTTGTATACGATGAAAATAAACGTAAGATTCATAAAGGTTTTTTATACCTAAACCTTGTCGTTTTTGAAAAAAATCGAGTTTTGTGATTTTGCTTAATTGTGCTGGCTTAGTTTTGTTTAATTTGTTGTTCAAATTTTTGATAGTTATTACTTTTTTTTAGGTAAAATTATTAACGCAGCATTACAATGAACTAAATTTTATGTTACACTTTTCAAAATTTCGGTAAAATGTACAGGATATCCAAAAAGTATAATTGATTAAATGTCATATTCAAATGGTAATAACTATTCTTTATATTAAATTGAACACCTCAAAGGAATCGAACATCCTGTATAAACACTCTCAACCTTTTCTGACCCGCTTTTTATAATAAAAATCGACGTGTCCGAGCATTTTTCCCCAATGGACAAATTAAGCATTTAACGAATTTGTTCCAAACTTTACACTCTCACTGTCAGTGATGTTAAAATTACTTTATAATATGTAATTAATTACAATTACAATTACTTTTGGCAAATTGTAATTAATTGCAATTACAATTACAAAATTTGCGAATGTAATTACAATTACAATTAAAGTTACAATTACAATTACAATCACAATTACTTTGCTTTGGTGTAAGTTTAAAATAATTATTTAGGGATTTGCAATCGGAATTAAACTTTCCACGTATTGAAAATATTAAATAAGTATTTTTGTGTCCAATGTAATTGTAAAATGTAATTGTAATTGTAACGAAAGGAGTAATTGAATTACAAATGAATTACAATTGAGGATCTTGTAATTACCGCCTCAATTACAATAAAAGTAATTCAATTACTTTTTCAATTACTTGTAATTAATTACTTAACAATGCTCACTGTATTATAATCCGTGTTAAAGTTTTTAATGTTAAAATGTCAAATTGCCTGTTGAAAAAACTTCAACAAAAGTTTGTTTTGTGTCTTACATTTTAAACGTGTGTTAACAGAGATAACAATAAATTGTTATTAATTAACCAGATTAATTTGTTCGAATTTGTTGCTATTATTTTTTTATTTGTTATCATCAATTTTGTTTATATTGCAAAGAGCAGCTAATAATAGGGTGACTTAATATCGACTAATATTACCAAAAAATTAATTTAATTATTGAAATAAGTTCAAAAAGTACAATATAGGGTGTTAATTAATTGAATGCCGATACTTCAGCATGTGAATGAATATTTGGATGATTTTAAAAAGAAAAGTTTGTATCAATTTATGTCCTAAACTTCTTAGTTATCGAACTACAGGGTGTTAAAATTTTAGAAAAAAATTAACTTTTCTATCATCATTTTTCTTATTAATCCAGTTATTTTTAAGAAATTTTGTATACACTTTTTAATTATTAAGGGGTATTTTTTAAGGCAGAAGATTTTTTTTTAATTTACCTGTGACGTCCGTACGGGGTTTGAACTGAATATGTTTGAAAAAAAATTGTACGCCACTGCTTTTTCTGAAAAGCAAAATTATTTTTAAAATCTTCATTTATTTTGTAGCAAATTCGGTCAGAACATTAGTTTTCTTTCTTCAACAAAACCATTTTTTCCCAAATTTATTTTGAAACTGCTTTTGATATTTTATTGAAATTTGATAGTCGCCGACCATGCATGGAAACACTTTTTTTTTTGGGACAAAAATTTATATTCTACTATTAACAGTGACGTCAACGTCCAAATTTATGAATGATAGCAAAGTTTTCTTTTTCTAAAATTTTAACACCCTGTAGTTCGAAAACTAAGAGGTTTAGGACATATATTGATATAAATTTTTCTTTTTTAAATCATCCAAATATTCATTCATATCCTGAAGTATCGGCATTCAATTAATTTACACCCTTTATAATAGTTATTCTGTTTAAACACCAGCATTTTATTTTAAATCCGACATCTTCGACTTCTTCTCTTCTTTTTCAACAGGTTGGAAATTTAATTTCGCATAATAGGGAAATTAATATTAAATTCTTAACCGTCTAAAATCCAATCTACCAGTTTACATTTCAATAGAACGTCGCGATTAATTCTAATAAATTTAATTGTTCTACTTGACTTCACTCCGCGATTTGTAGAGGTACAAAGTTATTTGCGTTAAGTATGAGGTACAAAATCATTTAGAAACTAAATTTAATATTTTTTTTGGGATATTTCAAAAAAATAAGTGTGTCGGTAGGTACAGTTTTGAAAGAGCAACAAATCTTGTTGAAATAAGGGAAAAAATATTTCAATTTTCTACTAGAATTATACCTCAGCTCAGTAATATGAGATGACAGGTTTGGCTATTGTTTAGCAGAAAGCGGTGGACTATTTTTTAGAGTTCTTTTATTTTCTGTTTTAAAATTGTCTTTAAGTTTATTTTTGTTATTTGTCTTCTTCAATAAATTTCAATATTTTCAATAAAGGTGTTTAATTTTTGATAAAAAAAAAGAAATCTAGAAAAATTAGTTTATAAAAAAATAAAAATTTAAGGAATTTCCGTATAGTATAATTTTCTCTGGCCTAAATTTTAGGTTAGTAACAAGATATCGAGATTCGATTTTCGCGAGCTTGTTTAGGCATTATTTAGC